GCGTTCCCCAGGGCGCCCGGCCGCCCAGCGCCTGAGCGGGGGGAGTGTGGCCGGGCGCGCCGCCAAAAGCCGGCCGGGCCGGCCGCTCAGCTCCGCGGCGCTGCCAGCGCGGGGAAAAGCGGAGCAGCGCCCGCGCCGTAGTCGGCAGGATTCGAACCTGCGCGGGGAGACCCCAATGGATTTCTAGTCCATCGCCTTAACCACTCGGCCACGACTACTGTGGCCTGGTGCGCGCGCGCCGCACTCAAGAGCAAGGTCTAGTCAGTCTATGTACTGTTTCAGGTGGCCTAACTGGAACTGGGTGACAATGTTAATGATAATTAGCCCACTTTTAGTACTGCAAAGACAGCACTACTTTGGCTTCAGATGCACTGTGCCTAAGAGTGCCTCTCTGAAGCACAGTATATTTCCTTTGTAAATATATTCACTTCTCTATTTTGCCATGGACTATTTGAAAGATTATCTAGCATTGTTTAACAAAAACTTTGAAACGTTGAAATTTTGCTCAGCCATGACTACTGTGGCCAGGTGTGCGCGCCGCACTCGAGCCGGAGCCAGACCTGAGCTGACTGCCCTGTCTCCCCCACGGGGGTCTTCGGGTGAATCCGATCTCTTTTATTAGACCAACCTAAATAGTCGGAAATTATTATTATTATTATTTTTTAGCAAGCTTTCGGGTTTAAAAACCAGCCCAGCCTCTGGCTTCTTTACTATTTGTTCCATGCAGGAAGAGCGCGCACCAACTGCAGAGGCTTTCTCAGCCTGACCTTGTTTGCCTATGTCCTTAGCCTGACATGGCTACAACCTGCACCCCTGTATACTCCACTGCTTTGGCTGGGGCTGCCCTGCATCCTGTCTCTGCTGCCCACGCTAGTGCAGTGCCCTTGGCTTTGGGTCAGGCTGGCGCAGGGCGCTGACACCCCTGAGGTTCGTCCTCACAGAATACCAGCTGTGTCTATGCGGGGCGCTGACTGCGCAGTAGCCTGACACTACTGCACGGTGGCATAGCATGGCAGCAACCATGATGCACAGTAGTAGTAGGCTACTGCGCAGTAGTGTCACAAAAAAGATGTTTGTTGGTGCTACTGCGCAGTAACTCAGGTTACTGTGCAGTCATGTGGTACTTCAGTATGTAGTGTAAACAAGTCCTACATGACTGCTCAGTCACTTGAGTTACTGCACAGTAGCGCCGACAAACATCTTTTTTGTGACGCTGCTGTGTAGTAGCTGAATATTTGGTGCTTGTTTACACAAGTACTAAATGACTGCGCAGTAATGACTGCACAGTCAGCGTCTCATGTAGATGCAGCCACTTATCCTTGTAAACAGGTGGATTAACACATGGGCCCAGGGTCCAGGGGCAGCACGGCCCAGGTGGGCATCCTGGCAGCAGGCATGGGGCGGGCAGCATGTGCCTCCTCCCCTCCGTCAGGGCCAGGTCTAGGGTCAGGGGCTAGGGGAGGGTGTGGGGCTCCCTGCAGGTGGTGGCAGCTTCCCAGGGCCATCTGCTGCCACATGGGCCGTGCTGGTCCCACTGGCTGCCATCTGCAGGTGGCCACTGATAGCACTGTTGGGACAGGACAGGACAGCCCCGACCTGCCCAGGCCAACAGAGGGGCAGACAGGCAGCTGGGGGTGAAGCTTGTGTCCCCCCCAAGCCATCCCTGGCCCCGTCCCTGGCCCATCCCTTGGCACTGGGAGACCACAGCTCTGGCTCTGCCACAACTGGCAGGCGGAGGGGCTGGGCTGTGGCTGGAGCTGCCTTCATCTCATCAGTGCTTGTGCCTCCTGGCTCACCCTGGACATACTGAGGAGGCCAGGAAGGCCCAGCTGCAACCCCTTGGCAGGCATAGAGGGAACCTGCCCTTGCCTGGCCCCCCAAAATGTTAATCCGCCATTGCTTGTAAAGTATGCCCCACCAACAAGTGGTTCCCCATTTCCCCTCTTTCTATCCAGTTGTGAAAGGTGAAAAGCAGATGAGAGGTACCACAGATTTGAGGTAGTACTGTACAGCTGCTTCTCCAGGCTGCTAGTGCTGCTTCCTCAAGGGTCAGGTATGATTTTCTGTTGTTCTAACTGCAGCCAGCCATTTCTGTGGAGATGGGGCAGAAGCACTAGCCTAGAGGCAGACAGTAGGTGTCTGACAGCTGTGGTTTTATGCCCACTGGGGGTATCAGGAGCAGCAGGCTGGAATGGAAGGCCAGTTTATTTAATTCCTTTAATGATTTCTGGACCTATGGGGAATCCTATGGGTCAGATGACACTGTGGGTCAGGCTGGCTTGCAGGGTTGCTCCACAGCCAGATCTCGCATGTGAGCTCAGGCCAGCACATAGGGTTGTTCTATACCTGGATTTAGTGTGCGGGCTGGGTAGACACAGGGAGCTGGTCCA